TTTGTTTTGTGTTTGTTTAGGGAGGGTATTGTTAAATCTATTCTTTTAACCACAACCAAATCGAAATGAGAATTTATCATTATTCAGAACCAACTGATATTCAGTGAATGGAAGTTCTACAACTAGGGAATTAAAGAAGAAGCCACATCAAGACTAGTAGGTGGGGTGGAGACACAGAATGGGCTGGTCCCCACCCAAATGTGGCAGATAAAAATCAGGAGGGATATCTCATCTGAAAAGATCTGCCCCTGAGGAGCGAGGGGTCCCAGGCGCACACCAGGCCCCCCAGCCCAGGGTTACAGGGCTGGGAAGGGAAGTCCCCATAACTTCTGGCTGTAAAAACCAGTGTGGATCGAGGCTGAGTGAGACGAAGGCTGCTGGAGCCTAGGACGTTCCTCTTAAAGGGCCCATGCATGGACTAACTTGGACTCACTCCCTCTGAGCTCCAGCGCTGGGGCAGCAGCTTGAAAGGAACCAGGGATATAATGAAGCATCCATCTTATATAAAAACTGCTGTTTGAAATTTTAACGCTGCTATTTCTGGCTTCTGTAAATGCTTGCTGGCTTAAATAATAAGGAAAATAAGTCTACTCTCATTTCAGAGAGGCCATTAAACCTTCCCCAGACAAAGTTATCAGTGCTGGCGTCAGGCCAAGCCTTTGGTCGAGGTCTCAAAGCGCCAGCACATAGGGTCCTTTAAGAACTTGCAAAGGGAACCGGAGAAACCCCATATTGGGGAGACAAAGAGGGGAAGATAGTATAAATACAGGAAACTTCCTGTGTGATTTCACCCAGAATTTGAGAGACATTTTCCTCTGGGCCTGCACATAATAAATGTAACTCCATCTCTCTAAGCATTGCTTGGTTCTTCTCTGGTTTTTTGTAACATACAGGGAGGAACTGAAGTGTCTGGCATCAGGGTGAGAAGTGGAGGGGCAGCTTTCTCCCAGCCAAAGCCCTTTTTTTTTTCCCTGAGCTTTCCTCCCACAGAGCCAGCAGGTGGTGCCATATAGGAGTCTCCATTAACCTGGCTCACGCTGTTCATTCACCCAGCCCTAGTGATTCCCTGAGACCCTGTCCCACCCAACATGCAGACCCATCCAAGCTATTTCCAGTGACTTTTCTGTACAAATGGCCTCTCTGGCCTCATGCTTTGGACTTTGCTAAAATATCTCAAATAAGCAGCAACTGGTCTCTTCAGACCTGCTATCTTTGCTAAGTAGCCCCAGGCCTAGCACTTGCAACAGCTGTTCTTGGTGCACAGCTTGGCCTCTCCTGGGCACCTCCAAGCCCAGCATAAGCAGCAGCCATATAGGTCCTCTGTAGCTCGTATTGGGTAGTCCCAGTCATGGCACAGGCAGAGGCTGACCTTTCACCTCCTGTGAGTCTTCAAAGCCAGTGCACCTGGTGGACAGTTTCAGATCATGCCAGATTACAACTCTACACATCCATAAGCAACACACTCAAGGGGCAGACTCAGTGAGCACCAAAGCTTCCACTGAGGCAAGTCCCGCTCCATAGGGTCAACGCCTGCACAGCAACTCCTCCATTGTAGTCCCAGGTGGTCCTCACAGCAGATTGGCTTGGGTCATTCCCTCCCAGTGATGCAAGCAGAATCAAGGTTTAACTATAGCAGTTCACTGCACACAGCCCACACAAAGGGGGGCAACTGGAGCATCCAGCTAGAACAAGTTACTGTGGAGACTGTACCACTGGGCCCTATAAGACACCTACTATACAAGGCCACTGTACCAAGTAGCAGATCTACCTAATACATAGAAATAAGCATAAAGAAGCAGCCAAAATGCAGAGGCAAACAAACAGGTCCCAAATGAAAGAACAGGAGAAATCTCCAGAAAAAGAACTTAATGAAATGGAGGCAAACAAACTACCAGATACAGAGTTCAAAAAACTGGTTATAGGGATGCTTAAGGATCATCCCTATATGAAAAGGGATACAGAAACCATGAAAAAGAACAAGTCAAAGTGAAGGATATCCTGAAACCTATATATTTTATTAACCAATTTCACCACAATAAATTCACTTAAAAAAAGAAATGAAGGACACATTAATTAAAATGAAGAATAATTTACAGGCAATAACAGTAGAGTAGATGAAGCCAATAATTAGTCAATAATTTGAAATATAAGGAAGCAACAAACACCCAATCAGAACAGCAAAAAGAAAAAATAATCCAAAAATTTAAGATAATGTAAGGAGTCTCTGGGACAACTTCAAGGGTACCAACATTCACATCATGGGGGTGTCAGAAGGAAAAGAGAGAGAGCAAGAAATTGAAAACCTATTTAAAAAATTATGACAGAAGACTTCCCTAACTTGGTGAAGGAAATAGACATATAAGTCTAGGAAGCACAGAGAGGCCCAAACAAGATTAACCCAAAGAGGTCCAGGCCAAGACACATCATAATTAAACTGCAAAAGTTAAAGACAAAGAGAGAATATTAGAAGCTGCAAGAGAAAAGCAGTTAGTTGCCTACAAGGGAGCACCAATATGAATTTTAGCTGAGCCCTGTCCAGGTAGCTCACTTGGTTAGAGCATTGTCCCAACACGCCAAGGTTATAGGTTCAATCCCTGACCAAGGTACATATAAAAATCAACCAATGGAGAAACCAAGATGGCGGCATAGATAAACACCGGAGATTGCTGCCTCCCACAACCACTTCAAAAATACAACTAAAAGACATAACGGACATCATCCAGAACCACAGGAAGGCTGGCTGAGTGGAATTTCTACAACTAGAAGGAAAGAGAAAAGCATACCGAGACTCAGAGGAGGTGCGGTGCTGAAGTAAATACAAAGGTGCGGAGGTGCATGCGGAGAG